ACGGTACTTCAATTTATTGGATGAAACAAACGAGATTTCATCGCGTTATATATCTAATGGTATCGTTTATTATGAGCGTGATTTCTACCGTAATGTTTTCCTTTTGGCTATGTATCTATTTATAGGTACAATGTACATGTAGAAGACTATTACACTATTTCTTCAATTAGATTAATTACAGGGAAAAATACATTAATTATGATAGAAAATGTTTCTTATTATGTTTAATACTCTTGTCTTAAACAAGAGGAAAAATCTGTAATAAATCTCAAATTGAACATTAATTTTATATTTTCTGCAGGAGTTGACATAAGGCATCTGTCACGTCAGACATTGTCAGATACAAATTATCCCATATATATATATATATAGAAAGTACGAGGATTGGCTGGAAAGTTCTAAGCCCCTCTGTGAAAGACCTGTACGAAGTCAATGGTTTCCATTTGTATTCCTACAAAGTCACCTTCAAGATGTACACACGATGTTGCAAGGCCTGGATTTTGGTCAGGAAGAAATTTTCTTCAGCCACCCTAAAGTCGTTCACCACAGCTGACATGACGTCATCAATATTAGGAAAATGTCGACCGGCTAATTCCTCTTTATATACGCCCACTTGGAAATGTGGAAATATTGCTGTCGCCTCCGTCTGTTCGTCCATCGTCCACAATTTCTTGTGAATGCTCAAACGCCAAAAGTTATCATCTGATTATTTTAAAATTGATATATGTTGTTTACATTATTGAGATGAAGAAGCCTATTTGATTTCAATAATTTCCGTTTATAACTTCCAGAGTTATGTCCCTTGTTTCACTTTGTTGAACCTTATGAATGCTTTAACATCAAAAGTCATCTGTCGATCTGTATGAAATTTATATCTTCATTTAAATTAATAAAAAAAAGAATCCTATTGAATTTCAGCAATTTCCATTAATTACATCTAGAGTTATGGTCCTTGTTTCATTTTGTTGAGGGCGTCTAGAGTTATGGTCCTTGTTTCATTTTGTTGAGGACGTCTGGAATCCGACACGTTTCTGATCTGCTTTGGCACCCATATTTCAGAACTTCTGCCATTCCTAACTGGTTTGAGATAATGTGAAACAAGGGCCATAACTCTAGAAGTAATTAATGGAAATTGCTACAGCACAATTTTCTCTTGTGCATGTGCCACCCAAATGAAGCATTTATTACATTAAACCTTCCCCATTATCTTGGAAAATCTATTCCGGAAGAACTGAGTCTCCTGAGGTGGCGTCGGTGGCGGTATTCCCTCCTCAACCACCAGACTATAAATGTTTGTCACATAAGCTTTGAAATTCAGTTGATTTTTAAAGATTTCCGTTAATTAACTTTGTTAGTAAGATTTGTAGTTATTTGTGACATGCCAATCTTCATCATTGCTTGTCTGTATATAATTGCCCTACTGTACTTTACTGTACTTGCTTGAAAACGTTGAGAGAATACTCTCCGAAACGTCGCCTAAATAAATCAGTAATTGTACCACTGTAACCCAGGTATTTCTTTCACATTCGTTTAATATCAAATCTTTGTTTAAAAATTCGTAAAAACTGTTTAAAATCACCATAAATCGTTTAATTTGTACTTCTGTCCAGTTTAAAGCTGACCATTCAATTTTGATAATTGGTGTCCTATTTACAAGTATTTGATTTCCTGACCACTGTTTAAAAATGAATCGTTATATATCATTAATCAATTGGCGGATTGATTAAGGCTTGTGCTCAAGCGTTTATAGTAATTTCCCTGAATTGTAACGTGACGGAATGAAATTGGAAGAACAGTAACTGTGAAAATACAATAAATGGTTTGAATTTAAGTGTTTATTGGTCACACCGTAGTGTTGTTAAATCCCAATAATACAGTTCAAAAAAGAAAAAAAAAAAATTTTACAAGTATAACAAAAGTGTGGGGGTTACATAAAATATACAATAAATATGCAAAAAAAAAAATCTTACATGAAATATAGTAGTGAAGTTCCTCGATTAACTCGCGATGCACATTTCGGAGTGGTATCCTTTGTCAAGCGATGATAACCTTTTCAAGTAGTGTTTTGTTTATACTCGAAGACCTGTCTGAACAAAATTTTGAGAATTTCAAACATCTGATCAGATAACATAATACAGTACCTTTTCCTTTTAACAGAAAGTGCTGTAGAATTGCACCGAAAAACACAACACAATTTATATGGAATACAATCACTGGTTTATGCACATAGAGCACGACGTTTCGACAAGTACAAATGAATTGTGCTACATGAAAAAACAAAACTGGTAAAACAAACCTGTGGACTGGTTAAGTGAGACTAATTTCAAAACCAGGGCATGTAACCTATTTTTTTCTCATAAGTGCCTGGATGTTATGGACGACACTTGGAACCATCTTTCAGTGTATTATTTATGGATGGTTAAATGGTCATAGCTTATTAAGTACAACATGACGGTTTATTTAGTGACTATAAATATGCCATACAGATTTAAGGATTGGTATATATATATATAGATATTGTGGTGTAATTGTCAAGCTATTTGGAGATATTTATTTATGGTGGGACACAGGGATGTCACTAACTTTTCAAGTAACAGGAAATTTTGCTAAAGTAAGGGGCAGCAAATGTTTAGGGCCTCAGGCCTGAATCTGCGGGCAAACCGAAGGGTGGGGAGTGTGGTATGGCGTTAGGTGCATTTCGGGTCAATATTTTAAATGACAGAAAGGTTTTTTTAAAACATTTTGTGAAAATATATATAAAAAATCTATCCAAAAAAACTTTAATAATCCAAATAAGTGCTTTTCAGTCATATCTGAGTAAAGTCTTAAGATAAGCGTTATTATAGAATTGCACGTCTACCAATTTTAAAACTGAAATCCGTGAATATTAGTTTAGGCTTTGCTTAAACTTATAAAATCGTAACAATTCGAAAAATATATAAAATATTTTTAATCTTCATGATACCAGATAAAAGGCAGGCTGCATTTATTCGGAATTAGCAAATTTCAGTCTGCAAAACCGATAAATCCCGTTTTCTAATTATGGGTGTAATCGCGTGAATGGAAATCCCTGGAAACGTGACATCTGAGTTTTATTTTCCTGCAAGTGCCTCCCACATAAACAGTAATAGCGCTTATATTTCTATAACTTTTGATTCCGACTATTTTCGTATATTGAGATCGATATCAAAGCATTATAATACAACCGCTAGTAATATATTTAAACGAAAAAGTAATCTAAAATCGCAGATTGAAAGTCAGCTAAATTTCAGTCAATCACTCAATGCCAATGGCTTCCGATTTCACGCTCAAGTCACGTAGCGTGAAACGTTTTCTGTTCACGGGAGAACTGTCAAAATCGTATAGACGTTTACTACTAGCCATGAGGAAAAATGACAGTAAGGGAACGGACCTTGTACAGTCAGTACAGGTCTCTATTTTATTAGGTACGCTCATGTACTCTGCTATTACTACTCCTTGATTACAATATACTTATAAGAATCATGAGGTTGATTTATACAACGGAAGTAAGGGGGTTACCTCCCTTTTTGAAAGTAAAACTAGCATTGGCATAATTATGAACATTTAACGTGAGAAATAGCCTTCCGTGCGGGAGATCGGGAGGAAGGTCGTAAATCTTTGAGTATCACGGAAAAAACTGGTTAGTTGATACGTCTGTGTGCTTTGCGTTTAGGAATTAAATTAGTTTCAATTAATATAATGCCAAATTATTTTATTAAAATTAGATTGCTGATCTTTTTTAGCTGAAAAGTAGCCGGAAATTGGCCTAATGTAAACGGCGAAATTTGCCGGTTGCCGGCTTCTAATGACATCCATGGTGGGACACCCTACCAATGGCCAGTCGTAAGCGTCAGCTATGCTGTACAGTCTCAGACTTGTAATAAAACAGTCTTCACTCAACATCAAAAACATAACTGAGAAAGTTCATCCAGATTTTCCGACGTGGTTTCACCTTGTCAGTGGTGCAGAATGGAGGGCCTGACAAGGACAGCTGTCTAGTACTTCGGATGAGACGGAAAATCTAGGTCCCGTGTATATGTTGGAATGCACGAAAAAGATCCCCTGTCAGTTGGAATTCGATATAAGAGTAGGCGATAGTGCCGCTGCCCGGGCGAAATTTCCCTCATAGCACACGGTATGGCATATGCCCGTCTTCATTAGCCCAGTATAGGAGCAGAACAGTAGGACATTAAACCCCATTTCATTTCATTTCATTTCATTTCAAAAACATAATAATTTATAAGAAAGACGTAAGAATATTACAAATTCTTGGTTAATAAACAAGATTTCCGTTGTGCAGGTTTATTTCCTAATGACCCCCTAATCAAAGGTGTTAAGCTTAAATTACATTTGATTATTATCTTTGTTGTACATTCTGTATATATATATGTCCACAATTCACATACATGTATCATTTACTTGATAAAGACGAGAGTATCCTCATCGAAACGTCGCTTAGCATCAAACTCAGTAATTGTCTTTCCATAAAATTGTACCTAGTGTTTAAGACAGGAAATAATGATAATAGAGTTCCTGAAATAATATCAGGCATTAAAGATGCATTATGTAAGAGCTAAATCTGCTTATTGTTGACTTCAAGTCTTTTTATTTAGATAGTTATTCAGATTGAGCTCTTACATAATGTCGTGCTGTATCATAACATCTGTTATTTAGTCAACTGGCGTGGTTTTGATTACCCGGTTGTACATGTATGTGACAAGGAGTGGAGTCACCTGTCCAACCTAGTGGGTTTTCTCTCTGTCCTCCGGTTCCCCCACTGCTAAAGACCCCTACATGTATGTGCAAATGAGTTACTGAAATAAAATTGAATCATATGTTAGTCCTGAAATGACCTGGTTTGTATCGAGTGGATGTTAAACCCCATCTCTCTTTCTCTCTCTCTTACATAATGTATGTTTAATGTGTCTTGTTTTTATTTTTTTAAATTTTTTGCCTTAAAATCCTTAACGTTATTTTAGCTATATTGTCCAGTGTCTGATGGAGACAGATATGTATAAATTATTAAAAACACAACAGCTCAGTAATGACCATGTGTGTTACTTTCTATACCAGATTTTACGTGGCCTCAAATATATTCACTCGGCCAACGTACTACATCGGGATTTAAAACCTAGTAATCTCTTACTCAACACTACCTGTGACTTAAAGGTAATTATCATTTTATTGTTATATTCCCTTACTCAACACTACCTGTGACTTAAAGGTAAATATCATTTTATTGTTATATTCCCTTACTCAACACTACCTGTGACTTACAGGTAAATAGTTTATTATTGTTATATTCCCTTGCTCAACACTACCTGTCACTTAAAGGTAAATATTTTATTATATTCATATTCCCTTATTGTCCTGGGGGGTTGGATGGCCGAATGGTTAGCAGGTGCGCGTCGTATCATAAGGCCTGTCATTGAGTCAACTGGTGTGGTTTCGAATTGTACGTGACAAGGAGTAGGGTCGCCTGTCTAACCTCGTGGGTTTCCTCTGGGTCCTCCGGTTTCCTCCCACTGCTAAAGACCCCTACGCGCAAGGGAATTATTGAAATAAAATTAAACCATATGTTAGTCCCGAAATGACCTAGTTTGTGTCGAGTGGACGTTAAACCCCATTTCTCCCTCTCTCGTTATTGTCCTGTCTTCATTAGACCAGTCAGTGTAGAACAGTAGGACGTTAAACCCCATTTCAATTCATTCATCAGCCGAGAAAGTTCATCAGGATTTTCCGACGTGGTTTCTCCTTGTCAGTGGTGCAGGATGGAGGGCCTGATGAGGACAGCTATGTAGTTGTTGGAATGGGATGAAAAACCGAGGTCATGCGTACACGTAAAAGATCCCTTGGCAGTTCGAAATCGATGTAAGAGTAGTGTGTAGTGCCGCTCTCCGGGCAAAATTTCCCCCATAGCACACTGTATGGCGTATGTCTGTCTTCATTAGTAGGGCTGGGTATCGATAGTGATTTTTACTATCGATAATCGGCAATGAAATGTCGGTCGATAATCGATAGTATCGAAAACAAACTTATTTTCACGGTCATCATCAAGACTGGAAACAGTGTAAGTTCAAAGTTCAAAACCATACGAAGTTGCGAAAGATCGTTTGCTCCTGTCTAAGGAGATTTATGTGGAAAACATTAATAAAACTTGTTATATCACGTATATATACGTAAATATATGTTGTTTATTATTAAAATAATGCAGCCGTGGTTCCGAATGAAGAAATATCGTAAATAATTTAGTTAAGGGACCAAAATGAACTTGTTCCGATTCAAAACACTGCGTACATGCGCGCGAAAATATCAATATGGCAGACGAATTCTGAAGCTTGCAAAGGGAAATAACTCTAACTTTATTTACACATCCGGGTATCTCCGATTTAGCGATATTCAACAATAATTTCTTCAAAACTAAAGTAACGTTTCAATGAGAGTGAATTTATGAAAACGGCTGTTTAATAAGCAGTCACAATTTTGTTATGTGTTACAGTGCTACTTGATAGTAATTTAACATAAGCTGTGTATTATGATTAACTGAAAGAAAACATTGACATTTCAGACGCAAGAAAAATAGACGAAGAGCGATAATCGATAGTAACCCACCGCTATCGATAGTGCTTTTCTGGGCCGTCCAATCGATACTATCGATTTATATCGATATTTTACCCAGCCCTATTCATTAGTCCAGTCGGTGCTGAACAGTAGGACGTTAAACCCCATTTCATTTCATTTCATTTCGTATTTTGGTGATACATTTTGTTATTCATTGTATACGCCCCCGACTGTCATGACCCCTGTCCGTCCACCATTGCTTGTGGACGTTCTAGAGAGGATTGAATCTGGTTCGTGCAAAAACCTCCATTTCATTGCTTTTATCTTCAATTGCATCCTACCGGTACCCTAAAGGATTAAACATATAACTATGATTCACATTTTTATATTTGTCCCCCGCCTTTCGAAGAAAGCAGGGGACTATTAAAATGGGTTCGTCTGTCTGTCTGTCTGTCTGTCTGTCTGTTCTGTCTGTCTGTCTGTCTGTCTGTCCGTCCGTCTGTCTGTCCGTCACACTTTTTGGGACACAATAACTCTCTTCCTAATTGAGCTAGAATCTTCAAACTTGGTGTATGTGTTTATTAGGTCAATGCCTTGATGGAGTTCGAAGATGAGCATTTTCCGCTTAGGGTAAGCAGAGATAAGCAATTTGATTGGTTGATGCTTTGGGACACGATAACTCTCTTCCTAATAGGGCTAGAATGTTCAAACTTGGTGTATGTGTTGATTAGGTCAATGCCTTGATGGAGTTCGAAGATGAGCATTTTCCGCTTAGGGTAAGCAGAGATAAGCAATTTGATTGGTTGATGCTTTGGGACACGATAACTTTTAATTGAGCTAGAATGTTCAAACTTGGTGTATGTGTTTATTAGGTCAATGCCTTGATGGAGTTCGAAGATGAGCATTTTCCGCTTAGGGTAAGCAGAGATAAGCAATTTGATTGGTTGATACTTTGGGGCACGATAACTCTCTTCCTAATTGAGCTAGAATGTTCAAACTTGGTGTATGTGTTGATTAGGTCAATGCCTTGATGGAGTTCGAAGATGAGCATTTTCCGCTTAGGGTAAGCAGAGATAAATAATTTGATTGATTGATGCTTTGGGACACGATAACTTTAGTTCTAATTAAGTGAGATTGATGAAACTTGGTGTATAGATTTATTATATGAATACCTTAACTAAGTTCGATAATGAACATTTTTTGCTGAGGGTAAGCAGAGTGATAAGCAATTTGATTGGTAGAAACTTTGGAACACAATAACTCTCCTTCTAATTGAGGTAGAATGTTCAAACTTGGCATAGGTGTCTATTAGGTGAATGTTTAAACTTGATGTATATGTAGATGTTCATTAGGTGAATGTCTTGACTGAGTTCAATAATTAACATTTCGAGCTGAAGCTAAGCAGAGCTAATCGATTTCATTTGTCGATGGTTTGGGACAAGATAATCTTGATTCTATCTGATAGAGAGTGATGAAACTTAGTGAAAAAAATAAATGTGCGATTAATTAATATGTGTCATCTATTTATTTTGCAATTTCGGCGGGGGACATCAGCCTCACTGTTGGCTTGTTCATATTTCAGATCTGTGATTTTGGGTTAGCCCGTGTAGCTGATCCGGACCATGATCATACCGGCTTTCTGACGGAGTACGTAGCTACCAGATGGTATAGAGCACCAGAAATTATGCTCAATTCCAAGGGTTATACAAAATCCAGTATCCTTTTTTAAAAAAAAATGATCTTATTTATAAAATGTTTATTGATAAAAATGATTATGTCTATTTTGTATGGTCCCGGACCAAGTAGTAAGAAATAAGGTCACATGACTTCCGGTTTGAATTGAATTGAATTCCCAGACCGAGCAGAACCTCGGGATTTTTCATTCCTGCTTCCCAACTTGTCAGGAGTGTTACTTGAGGGCTGACAAGTAAAGTCTTGCCTAGTTCGGGAGGGTGTGGGGGGGGGGGAGCGATTGGTGCATGTTGGTTAAGGAAAACTGTCATTGAGTCAACAAGTGGCATGGTTTCAATCCCCCGCTTGTATGTTGAAAGGAATAAGGTCGTTTGTCCATAAACCCATCTCTCTCTCTCTCTCTCTCTCTCTCTCTCTTGTCATTGAGTCATTTTGCGTGGTTTCGATTCCACGCTTGTATGTTGAAAGGAATAGGGTCGTTTATCCACCCTTGTGGGTTTTGTCGGGGTCCTCCGGTTTCCTCCCACTGCTAAAGACCCACACGCCAATCAAATTATTGAAATGAGATTGAACCATATCTTATTCCCGAAATGACCTAGTTTGTGTGGAGTTGACGTTAAACCCATCTTATGACGTTAAACCCATCTTATGACGACATGAGTGGAAATCAGTCTGGCATACAATAAGTTAAGTCATCATACAACAAAGGAGAATCAAGCAAACATATATACACTAAGAAAAATCGCTTGATGGCTGTGACTTTAGTGAAATCGGTGCGTGCTATCTCTCTCTCTCTCTCTCTCTCTCTACCTATGTAAAATTGCAATGTTTCAAGTGAAATGATTATTGATAATACTTCAATGTACTTATGTAATATTGCAATGCTTCAAGTCAGGTGTATGAACACCTGCTTGTATATAGATTATTTATTTAATTTCATACCACACAGTAATAAATTTTCTTGCTTTATATTATAAATATTGTTTTACTAGTTTTATTATTATTTTACTAGTTTTTATTATAAATGTTTTTAAGTAGTTTTTATTATAGATATTTTTATCCTTAACTTGAATCAGTTGATGTATGGTCGGTTGGTTGTATCCTAGCAGAGATGTTATCAAATAGACCACTGTTTCCAGGAAAACACTGTATCCTTTATAATAATACAAGCCTGCAAATAAGGCACCTGTCACAGACAGGCACAATTTCTTGGTGCCAGGGATGGGGTTGTCTACTGGTTTAAATCATAAAGTCTGTCATTGGGTCAAGTGGCTGGGTTTCAATTCCCAGCTTGAACGTGACAAGGAGTAGGGTTGCCTGTCCAATCTCATGGGTTTTCTCCAGGTCCTTTGGTTTCCTCCCACTGCTAAAGACCGCTAAGCACAAGCAAAGTTAATGTGTTAATAATACAACCATATGTGCTTGGAAATAAGGCACCTGTCACAGACATTTTCAGGTATAATTCCTTGGTGCCAGGGGATGGGTTGTCTTCACGTGGAATCTCAAAGTCGGTCATTGGGTCAATGTCGACACAAGTACACATTGACTTGCATGTAAAAGAAACCTTGGCAATTGGCATTTGAAGGAGAGTAGGGGGATATGGCCACTGTACAGGCCAAACTATCCCCCACACCCCTACTCCTCGCAATGCACACATAGCCATATAGGAGCCACTGTGGGTAAAGTGCTGGCTTGCTAGCCTGGAGGTCACGTGTTCGATCCCTGCATTTGCCGAGAAAGTTCGTCAGGATTTTCCAACATGGTTTCCCCTTGTCAGTGGTGCAGGACGGAGGGCCTGACAAGGACAGCTGTCTACTCAGTCGGATGGGATGAAAAACCGAGGTCCCGTGTACACATTGGCGTGCACATAAAAGATCCCTTGACGGTTGAAATTTGATATAAGAGTAGGACATCGTGACGTTGCCTGGGCAAAATTTCCCTCATAGCACACTGTATGGCACATGCCCGTCTTCATTAGCCCAGTCGGAGCAGAATTGTAGGACGTTAAGCCCCATTTCATTTCATAGCCGTGTTTACAATCTCAAAATAACAAAATTATCATGTTGACGAGACATTAAAATTCATACCTGAGTATATTGACTGAATTAAATTTATGAAACCTTTGATTGTATATTAGATTTGGACCAGTTAAATCACATTCTCGGGGTTCTGGGTTCACCAAGTCAAGGTGATCTTAATTGTATTATGAATGAAAAGGTAGGTAACTTCAAACGCTATAGATTTATCAGATGCAGCACTGCAAGGATGGATGTGGATGTTTAGAGGTGTAAATTCTCTCTTCAGATACAACAGACTTCAAATGATTCTGGGGGGTTGGATGGCCGATTGGTTAGCATGCGCGCACTGTATCATAAGGCCTGTCATTGAGTCAACTGGCGGGGTTTCGATTCCCCGATTGTACGTAACAAGGATCTGTTATTGAGTCAACTGGCGTGGTTTCGATTACCCGGTTGTACATGTATATGACATGGAGTGGAGTCACCTGTCCAACCTTGTGGGTTTTCTCCGGGTCCTCCAGTTTCCTCCCACTGCTAAAGACCCCTACGCGCAAGCGAATTATTGAAATAAAATTAAACCTTATGTTAGTCCCGAAATGACCTAGTTTGTGTCGTGTGGAAGTTAAACCCCATTTCTCTCTCTCTCTCTCTCTCTCTCTCAAATGATTCTTCAATTATACATAGGAACATAATTATACATAGGAACATAATTATACATATCTCGTCATACAGTACTGACAGGACAGTTACTGCACACTATCCTAACTAGTGACTGCCTTCAGTTTACAAATTTTGTATGTTTAAGGAAAATCAGATAATAGGATAAAAGTATATGTTGTAATTAATAATAGTAATAATAATAATAATCGTTTTCTATAGCGCTGAACATTCAGTCAGTCTGACTGCTCTGTGACACTGAGATGTTGATAGGTGAACCAGACATAACGGATTTAACATAATAAATCAACAAAAACAATACACGGAATTAATGTCTTACCCAATGACAACTTGAAAAGTCATGACAATTAACGACTTACTAGCCAGTTGATCTTAAAGTTGTTAATTTAAGAAACATTAATTATACGAGCGATTGGCAGATTATCCCACCATTATAAATCATAGATGCATATTATTTATGTTGGATGGCCGAATGGTTAGCATGTACGCGCTGTATCGTAATGTCTGTCAATGAGTCAACTGGCAAGGTTTTGATTCCCTGGTTGTATGTGACAAGTAGTGTCGCCTGGAGGTAAAACCCCATCTCTCTCTCTCTCTCTCAATATAAAGACTATGGATTTATTAGATGTAGCACTGCAAGGAATATATGGATGCATATAATTTAGGCCTGACAAGGACAGCTGTCTAGTCCTTTGGATGATGCGAAAAACCGAGGTCCCGTGTATACATTGGAATGCACGTAAAAGATCCTTGGCAGTTGGAATTCGATATAAGAGTAGACAATAGTGCCGCTGCCCGGGTAAAATTTCCCTCATAGCACACTGCATGGCGTATGCCAGTCTTCATTAGCCCAGTATAGGAGCAGAACAGTAGGACGTTAAACCCCATTTCATTTCATTTGCATATAATTTATGTTTTTGTTATCAATAAATTTTACTACTTTAAGGTCAATTCTCGTTTAAATGATTGCTTTTAGTGTAAACATTGTGTCTATTATTGTGTAATATTTTCATGCTAGGAGCCACGGTGGCTAAGTGGGTAAGACGCTGGCTCGCTAGCTAGGTCGCGTGTTTGATCCCTGCATTGGCCCAGAAGGTTCATCAGGATTTTCTGGTGTGGTTTCCCCTATTCAGTGGTGCAGGATGGAGGACCTGACAAGGACACCTATGTAGTCATTCGGATGGGACGAAAAGCCGAGGTCCAGTGTATACATTGGCGTTCACGTAAAAGATCTCTTGGCAGTTGGAATTCGATTTAAGAGTAGGCCATAGTGCTGCTGCCCGGGCAAAAGTTTCCTCATAGCACACTGTATGACGGATGTCCGTCTTCATTAGCCCAGTCGGAGCAGAATAGTAGGACGTTAAACCCCATTTATTTTCATTTTCAGGCTAGAGGATATATTCAGTCGTTACCATACAAACCAAAGATTCCGTGGCCCAGATTATTCCCCAATGCTGATCCTAAAGGTACATATTCTAACATATTAGGGGGCTTGTTATGACTGGCGTAAAATTGCCTCCATCGTCCGGGTTATTGGGGACTTGGTGTTAGTAGTTCCAGAGCCTTAATTTGTGATTATCCCACTGAGAGGAATTAAATGGTAGGGATCAGTTCTTAATGTTGATTTCACTAGTCAAATATTCTAAATAATTATCTGAATGCTAACACTGTAACCCGGGTATCATTTAATCTTGTGTATTTAGCACTGATTTCTTTCACATTCGTTCAATATCAAATCTTTGTTTGAAAATTCGTAAAAATCATTTAAAATCACCCAAAGCCATCTAATTTGTACTTGTGTTCAGTTTAAAACTGACTGATTAATTTTGGTAATGAGTGTCCAATTTACAAGTATTTAATTTCCTGACCAGTGTTAAAAAATTAATCCTTAATCATTATACATCAATAATCAATTGGGTTGTTTATTTTTGAACAGTGATCAAGAAATTAAACAATTGTAAATTTGATATTGAATGCACGTGAAAGAAATTAGTGCTGAATACACAAGATTAAATAATACCCAGGTTACAGTCACAGGCACTTGAAGGGATTAAAATAAAACTTCTTACTACTGCTTGACTATATATTATAGTATATAAGAAGGTATTTCAGCCGCCATCTTTGTTTTCACGTCTTCAAGGCATTACGTCTGCTAACATCTCACAATACTCACTAGTTCTAACACTACCCGTCGTTTTTATTGCCAACGAGACCTTATTTGATCATTATTCAGCTTCCGATGTAATTAAATTGGCCATTTAACAGCGTTATTAATTACAAATCAAATGTGAAGCGCTGTCACTTGCCGAAATTTGTCTTCATCAGCCCGGAAATAAGTTTAGTTTGTAGCAGTCTGTAACACCCAGTCCCTCATATAGATTTATCACCCTGAGATCTCGGTTCCTTTCGATATTGGCATGTATCGGACTGTAACTTCCTGAATTATGGCCCCTGATTGTACGAAAAATCACGTTTTTAGATTGTGGACCCTATAGTGGTCATAATTTTTATCCGATTTAAAAAACCGTATTGTTATATCACCATTACACCCTAAGCACGACTGAGTTCGAATTTCGTGAATATCGGCCCAAAATGGACAGACAAAATGGCCGCCCCTCGTTCTCAAATAGCGTAAAAATATGGTATATCAAGGTTGTGGACCCTATAGAGGTCATAATTTTTATCCGATGTTTTTGAAACTTGAAATGTCAGTTTATAACCCAAAGATCTCAGTTCCTTTCGATATTCGCGCATATCGGAACGTAACTTCCTGAATTATGGCCCCTGATGTACGAAAAATCACAATTTAGCTTGTGGACCCCATAGAGGTCATAATTTTTATCCGATTTAAAAAAACGTATTATTATATCACCGTTAGACCTTAAGAAGACTGAGTTCGAATTTCGTGAAAATCGGTCCAAAACTGACAGACAAAATGGCCGCCCTTCGTTCTCAAATAGCGTAAAAATATGGTATATCAAGGTTGTAGAACCTATAGAGGTCACAATTTTTATCCGATTATGTTGAAACTTGAAATGTAAGTTTATAACCCATAGATCTCGGTTCCTTTCGATATTCGCGCATATCGGACCGTAACTTCCTGAATTATGGCCTCTGATTGTACGAAAAATCACTTTCTTTTTAGCTTGTTCTCTATCCATCTCTCGAAAATGTGGACGTATCCTGCCTGGCAGCCGCTGGTTGTTCAGGCTGTGCTACTATAATAATTGAAATGATTATTGTTCCTTGCCTTGCTCCAATAATAATTGAAATGTTTATAGTTTAAGGCTGTATTCCTATAATAATTGAAATATATATATTTATTTTATAGCTCTAGATCTGCTGGATAAGATGTTAATATTTAATCCCCAGAAGAGAATCACTGTAGAAGAATCACTAGCACATCCTTATTTAGAACAGTACTATGATCCGGCTGATGAGGTTATATCATATATATTTCTATAGCCTACTCCCAAAGATCCCTTGTACAAGTTGGTGTGCACGATAAAGATTCCATGTACACATTGGTGTGCACGTTAAAGAACCCTTGACAGTTGGAAACCGGTGAAGAGTAAGCAGTAATGCCACTGTCATGGCAAAATTATCCTCATGGCATATAACTGCATTGTGTATACCGGTCTTCATTAGCCTTATTGGTGCAGTGACAAGGAGTAGGGGCACCTGTCCAACCCCTGGGTCTTCCGGTTTCCTCCCACTGCTAAAGTCCCCTACGCGCAAGTGACTTATTGAAATAAAATTGAACCATATGTTAGTCCCGAAATGACCTAGTTTGTCGAGTGGCCCTTAAATCCCATCCATCTAGCACAATCTGATAAAAATACAGATCTATATTTTGTTTATTATACTTTTGATGGCCCCCACTACATGAAGATCTGACCAGTTGTTGTGAGAGGTCATGTCAGGGGTCATACGAGCGACTTTTGACCCTATGACATCAGACTTTTGATTAACTAATCATTGTTGATGTTTCTACTGGGATACCCACATACTGTTTCATTGGCTAATCCCTCTCATAAATCAGAACGTGGGTTATATAACAACTCTTCCAGATCCTAGTGTAGAAGGAGCGGGGGGGGGGGGGGGAGTGGGTAAGACTCTGGCTTGCAAGTCTGGAGGTCGGGTGTTCGATAATGTTAAGGGAATTTGCTGAAATCATCATTACTAAAGTCGATACGATAAAAAACATAGTCTCGATTATCCAGTTTTGAGCGTTGAGCAGCAAACCGGATTCTGATTCAGTAAAAATCACAGGCTAGCGATGACATCGAGAGCTGATTATGGTCTTGTTTTGTTAATAAATGTCTAATTAATAATTTAGATAACATTTCTATCCTAAAGAAAGACCTGCAATAGGCAGATTTAGCTCTTACATAATGTATGTTTAATAACAGATATTTTAATATATTAAATTTATTCTTGTTCTTCTAGCCTGTTGCTGTTGAGCCATTTACCTTTGAAATGGAGTTAGATGATTTACCAAAAGAACAATTGAAAGAAATGATATTCCAGGAAACAATAACGTTAAAAGACAGATTAGCTGCCAAAGAATAGGTAGGAAAACCTTCTTTCCAATCAGGGGTTGGCTGACCGAATGGTTAGCACGTAAGTGCTGGATCGTATAGTCTGACATTGAGTCAACTGGCATGATTACAATTCCCCGGTTGTATGTGACAAGAAGTTGGGTCGTCTGTCCAACCTTGTGGGTTTTCTCCACGTTCTCCGGTTTCCTCCCACTGCTAAAGATCCCTATGCGCAAGCGATTTATTATTGAAATAAAATTGAACCATGTGTTAGTCCCAAAATGACCTAGTTTGTGGTGAGTGGAGGTTAAACCCCATCTCTCTCTCTCTCTCTCTCTCTCTCTCTCTCTCTTTATTGTTGTTGTTTAATTTTTCAGGTCTTTATATCGGAAGTGTTATTTTTGCTAAAATTTAGATGAACTGCAGGGCAGTTGATGTTTGATAGGTGAAGCTAAAGAGGAACAGATCATGACAGTAATTAGAAGATCCTGATAAAATAAATAGAAAGCAAGCTATCAACATTCTGTTATAGAAAGTTATATCTAATTAAGAAAAGATACCTTTTATTATATCAATTAATATTATTAATAATGAATTTAAAGCCTAGCGAATAAAGACCAATTACAATCTTTCAAACACAGATCAACTCTTGAACACAAATCTATTCCGCTTACGAACTATCAATAACAAATAATTATAAACTCCCATTACGAATCAACAACAAATCAACTCGCATTACGAACTGTCAAAAACAAATCAACTCCCATCCCATTACGAACTGTCAAAAACAAATCAACTCCAGTTATGGTTTGTCAAAAAGTAAACTCCAGTTATGGTTTGTCAAAAAGTAAACTCCAGTTATGGTTTGTCAAAAAGTAAACTCCTTGTTAGGGATTTTCATACACAAATAAACTCCAGTTAGGGATTTTCATACACAAATAAACTCTAGTTAGGAACTTTCATACACAAATAAACTCCAGTTAGGGATTTTCATATGCAAATAAACTCTAGTTAGGGATTTTCATACACAAATAAACTCTAGTTATGGACTTTCATACACAAACTCTAGTTATGGACTTTCATACACAAATAAACTCTAGTTATGGACTTTCATACACAAATAAACTCCAGTTATGGGATTTTTATACACAAATAAACTCTAGTTATGGACTTTCATACACAAATAAACTCTAGTTATGGACTTTCATACACAAATAAAAACAAAGAAGTTTTGATGAAAACGATGCAATCTGATTAAAAATACAAAAACATGTTTTACTTAGATTAAACTTGTTTGGTTATTTTCAAAGATAAATCTCCATTGATTTATTTCCTAAGTAAGTTTTGTTTTTACATTTGAAGAGAAGGGGCAAAAACATAGCTTCGTGTTTACATCTATCGGGCAGCCCAGAAAAAAATGTACCGGGTGGCCCAGAAAAAACCCAAACTAGTACACTATTTAAAGTGGATTAATTCAGCATTTTCTGGATTGCCCAGAAAAAAAAAAACTAGTACACTATTTAAAAGTGGAATAATTCAGTGTTTTCTGCGTTTGAAAGAATGAACTTGTTGCGTTTATACGCTAGGCTTGATAATTCGTATATCTATTGTTTCATTTAGTAGTAGAAAGTCGTTACCAGAATTTGTATATGTTGTATTTTTATTCATGTTGGATATTTCTATTGTTTTTTTTTTCTTGTTTACATAATTTTTTTCTTTACAAAGAACATGTTTCTATTAAATGATTTCCTGTCCATCTAAATATGAATGTCCATCTTCTACCCAAGTTTTTATGGCTATGTATATGCTTTAGGTATAATTGTATGGAGTGATTTTTGAACGATTTAATTTGGATTAATGTTGCACAGTTCTGTGAGAACTTCTGTGTGTGGCATTAAGTGATTGAAGAGTATAGCACCCTGAAACTTGTATGTAGAATTAGAATTATTGGTTTATTATTAGGAGTAGGTTCGCCGGTCCAACCTCGTGGGTTTTCTCCGGGTCCTCGGGTTTCCTCCCACTGCTAAAGACCCCTACGGGCAAGCGAATTATGGAAATAAAATGGAATTATATGTTAGTCCCGAAATGACCTAGTTTGTGTCGAGTGGACGTTAAACCCCATTTCTCTCTCTCTGGTTTATTCATTAAACAGGCATTATGTAAGAGCTAAATCTGCCTATTGCAGGTCTTTCTTTAGGCCTTAAATGTTATCTAAATTATTAATTAGACATTTATTAACATGAAAAGACCATAAATATTGAGGGTTGTACCTATATGATAAAGACAGGACTACCATTGTTAAAGTGTGACATGTTATTAAACCAATAATTTTTATTCTGTGAGAATTCTGGAGTGTCTACTAGCATCTATTTAATGTCTTTATATGCTGTGTCTGCGTCATATCATCCAGATTTAAATGAATATCACTTTTGATATACATTATTTTGCGTCACATTGACCAATTAAATTGCTAATTAATGTTGTAGATTACAGAGGATATATTCGGAAATGTTTTAGCTCGCTATGATTCTGACGTAGCTGTAGGATTTTCTATGAATTTAAAGCCAAGGATAGATTTGGCTTAAAAGTAATCATGCTTTAGGAACTATGAGGGATTCCTGCAAGCCTGTTTCTATTGAATGGTTTGAGTACCTTAAACACCCACGTATAATATACCACCATATAAAGGACACACCCCCTCCCTGATCACCAGGGGGGGGGGGGGGGTGGATGGTCTTGTGGTTTAAAGCGTTTGGTGAAATCACAAGGTCTGTCATACGTGACAAGGAGTAGGGTCGCCTGTCCAACCATGTGAGTTTTACTCCCACAGCTAATTTATAAAGACGCCTATGCGCAAGTTAATTATTTACATAAAACTGAACCATGTGTTAGTCCCGACCTAACTTTTATCAAGTGGACGTTAAACCCCCTTCTCTCTCTCTCTCTCTCTCTGATCACAGGGATTCAGCATAAAGTGGGTGTTTATGGTACTAGTTGTGTATGAGATAAGTAGAAAGTGATTATTTAGTAAAACAAATTCAGCATTGCTTTATTCACATTGTTAAAGAACCATTTCATCTCATGTGATTGTTTCTTGTTATTATTATTTCTGTCTTTTTTAAATCTGAAAATATATATATGATATTGTTATATCTTATGTCTGACATAAGGCTTACCTTAAATAAAATTAGATATTAATCTTGCTGATGTACAGACAAAGCAAGATATGGTGTTAAAATTAATTGTCATTTGAGAGGTTGTTTATCCATTGTAAGCTAAAATATAGTGAATTATTATCTAGGCATTTATTCATATGAAAAGCCTAAGATCAACTCTCTAGACCATCGGATGGTCGTGATATTGAATGGTTTAGAACATACATGTATGCATTGAGGGGGTTGTTGATCCCTTGTAAGCTAAAATATGGTGAATGTCGAATCTCTAAAAGAAATATAGACCCAAAAATTGTTAAATTCTGTTCAACATCTTTACACAAATATGATTAATTAAATCTGGATTTAGAATTTAATCCACCGCAATCAGACTCAGAATCTTTTAACGAGCAGTGGGTTACTGGTCTATCAGTGATTTCATGTTCACTGCACTAGGACCTGTCTTTTAATTAAGGGGGGTTGGATGGCCGAATGGTTAGCATGTGCGTGCTGTATCATCAGGTCTGTCATTGAGTCATCTGGCGTGGTTTCGATTCCCTGGGTTGTACGTTACAAGGAGTCTGGTCGCCTGTCCAACCTTGTGGGTTTTCTCTGATCCCCCGCTTTCCTCCCACTGCTAAAGACCTGTACGCGCAAGCAAATTACTGAAATAAAATTAAATCATATGTCAGTCCCAAAATGACCTAGTTTATTTGTCGAGTGGACGTTAAACCCCATTTCTCTCTCTTTCTCTGATCAACAGCTCGACACAAATATGATTAATTAAATCTGGGTTTAGAATTTAATCCACCGCAACCAGACTCAGAATCTAACGAACGAAGGTTTACTGATCCATCGGTGATTTCATGTTTACTGCACTAGGACCTATCTTATAAAGAAGTCTTATGTTTATGTCACAGAAGGATATAATCTTAATATTTTTTTCTATAAACAGGCCTGGAAATAACGTTTATAGATGTACCTGACAAAATGTATATCAGGTATCATTCATTTCACCTTAATGCCAGACATGTATTAATAATATCAATAAAAAAGACAAATCAGTGCCAGATGAAATGAGACACCAGGGTCCTGTTTCACGAAATTTTAACTAAAGATAAAATCCAAATTTTAGTAGATACTTCAATTTTGATTGGCTAAGCACTACAATCAGTCTAATATTATCCAATCAAATGACTAAAATTTGGATTTTATCTTAGTTAAAATTTCGTGAAACAGGCCCCAGGGATTTAGTGCCTGACAAAGCCTGAATCTGTGTCTGACATTGTCTGTGACAGGTGCCTTATTTCCAGGCTTGCAGTATAAACATTGGTCCAAGGGCCTTTATTCACGATCACTTGAGTGCTTGTAGATAAGCATTTTGTCATTGGTTACCATAAGCTGCCATTTTGAAAATCATAATTTTAGTGAATAAGGCTCCTTGGACTTTTAAGAAAGTTAAATAATTTTAAGGATGCTGTGCATTCATCGGCTGAGTATTAAAATCTATTGATTTTAAATCAGACCCATGAAGAGGCTGTTTTCTTGGACTAATAAAGTTTAGGTTTTAGGTTGTTTTATAAATTAATTATTAGATATAAAATGTTAACTTAGATTGTCATATAAGTATTGTAGATACATTGTATTAATTAGCTTTGTTAATATACTATTGGTACTAACAACCAATATTCCCCGATTTCATGTTAGTACTTTCAACTATATTAATTGATAGATAACTGTTGATTGACTATTCTTCAATTTATAACTATGAAATACAGACTAATTACTCTAACTATAAAATACAGCCTGTTTATAATTACTCTGGCTATAAAATACAGACTGTTTATAATTACTCTGGCTATAAAATACAGACTGTTTATAATTACTCTCGTTATAAAATACAGACTATTTATAATTACTCTGGCTATAAAATACAGACTGTTTATAATTACTCTCGTTATAAAATACAGACTGTTTATAATTACTCTCGTTATAAAATACAGACTGTTTATAATTACTCTGGCTATAAAATACAGACTGTTTATAATTACTCTGACTATAAAATACAGACTGTACAGACTGTTCATAATTACTCTGGTTATAAAATACACTGTTTATAATTACTCTGGTTATAAAATACAGACTATTTATGATTACTCTGGCTATAAAATACAGACTATTTATAATTACTCTAGCTATAAAATACAGATATAAAATACAGACTATTTATAATTACTCTAGCTATAAAATACAGACTATTTATAATTACTCTGGCTATAAAATACAGACTATTTATAATATCTCTGGCTATAAAATACAGACTGTTTATAATTACTCTGACTATAAAATACAGACTGTTTATAATTACTCTAGCTATAGACTGATTATATAAATCTTCCTTACAGCATCAATAAATCATTCCTGTAATTTTCTAGATATTTCTGTTTAGCGGGGGGGGGGGAATTTGTAGCAACATGTATTAAAATGATAATTCTAGTCCGGTTTAACTAGACGTATCTGACAGGTAGTCTAAATTTAACCGGACATATCACACTGACAGACAGTTAGTCCGGTATAACCAGACGTATCACACTGATAGACGGCTCAACATCAGGTTTAATGGTTAAATGCATGTTTGAAGAACTAGGCGTGTATTTGATGGTTAGACCGTAGTGTAGATGAGTGAATATAATTTAGAATACCATGTAATTAATAGATGTTAGTCCCAACTCTTGTTTATATCAATTAGCTGTATAATTATCATCATTCAGACTCCCTCTCTATTGGGGTACTTTATGTAATGATCTCAATTTACTGGGTTATGATCATTGTGTACATAGTTACCATTGGTTACCATACTGGGTTTCTCTCTGGCCATAGTGTGCTACCTGTCTTAAAATTATGAGTTTTAATTACGATCAGATTTAAATCATATAAGTTTTCTCGTATATAATGATGCGCCCCAGAGCTATTGACTTGAAATAAAAAAAAAATGAATTTTGGGGGGACAAAACATTGAACAGTTCTATCACATTGGCCTAGAGCTAGAATAGTGTGTTACATGATATCTATTAATAAACCACTTGTTACCATTAGCAACATATCCTCTTTATATCTTTTGTACTGTGTAAATTGTATCATAAGGTCTGTCATGGAGTCAACTGGTGTGGTTTCGATTCCCTGGTTGTATGTGACAAGGAGTAGGGTCGCCTGTCCAACCTCGTGTGTTTTCTCCGGGTCCTCTGGTTTCCTCCCACTGCTGAATTATTGAAATAAAATTAAAACCATATGTTAGTCCCGAAATGACCTAGTTTGTGTCAAATGGACGTTAAACCCCATCTCCCTCTCTCTATCTCTTCCAATAGGTGTTAAGCGTCTGCTCTTTTGCATTGTCTTGTGTCTTAGGGGTAAATTAAGCCTAAAAATCGAAAATGTGACGGCAGAGTCTCAATGAATAAGGGTTTTCAAACTACGAGAATAGGCTGTGATCTGAAAAGTATTGCCAAACTCAAGGGTGAGAATCCACCTTGATGTGAAGACTACAATTGTCAAAAAGACATAACTCTGTTTGATTGTTAAATTTCAACCATGATGACGCACAAGACTACGAGACTAAATGCTTGAGTATTACTTACTCATTTTAGGCTTAGACTCAAAATACTGGAAGGTGATGCCAGTCTAAAAATCTCTTACAAATGTTCATGAGAGAGAAAAATTCTTAAGTTTAAAACGCTTTGTGTGTTGTTAAATCATAGCACATAGTTTGAGGGTGAGAAAGTTTACTAGTTCAATGGTTAGGGTCCTTGCGGCGGTTCAACCGTCTCTTAACCTGTAGATCAGTGGTTCTCAACCTTTTTTTGGCAACGGCACACCTTGGAACACATGAAAAAATAACGCCACACCTGGCTAAATATATATAAAAAATATTTGAATTTTACAAAATAAAAACATTGTAAGTCAGATGGCATACAATCGTAGACAGAGACTAGTCATAGAAACATAGATTGTCTTAACTCAATTAGGATCATGTGGTTTTTTGCATTTTCTTAGTGTGCCTTTCACAATTCCGCGGCACACTTAGGAGTACAGGTGTGCCGCGACACACTGGTTGAGAATCACTGCTCTAGATAGACTGTGATCTTCAATAGGTCCTGCTGGTACTCTCAATGCTTGGATTTATAGTCCTGCAGCGGACCATTGAAACCTCAGACATGCGCCCCCCCCCTGGTTTGTGCATACTATTGTTATTGTTATTTGCTATTAAAATGTTGCGTTTATGTAGATATTAATGAAATATTGTCATCTTTCATTTTATCATATTAATTAAACTTATAACACACTTGTTATTTATCGTATATGTGGATGTATCCCCAGTCAAGTTTCATAAATCCTACCCACAACTCCCCAAATCCCTCCCTTAGCTTTTATTATTATGACTGTTGTTAAATGAAAAATAGCATAATTTTTATTAGATCAAGGTTCGTGGTTTATTAGGGCATTAATTAATAGGGAGGTTCCGCAACCACTACAAACTACAAAGTTTTTTTGTATATGGTTAATAAGCTTCAAAGTGATTGGAAATTGTTTTGATTTTGGACAAATTTCGGGCTATGGAATTTGTTGTTTTTTTACACTCGGCCACGAGGTCGAATCATCTCGAATTTTATAAGTACACATTGCGTTGGACTTCTTGGAGACTAAAATTTAAATTAATTTGATATTTTCTTACGAAGTGCGAAGCCTAATTCGTACTGGTTGTGGAACCTGTCAAAAACGAAGTACGAAGCCGTGTTAGTACTTCGTAGTTCGTAGTATGTACTGGTTGCAGAACCTCTCTAATAACTTACAAATTACTTAATTAGAATATTTGAAGAGTTGTCTACAAGGGTATTGATACAGTCATATTTGACCAGTCATGACTGACCGATTAGAGAATTTATTTGTCAGCTGGCCTAGAAATAATATTTGTACTTGTGCCCGACAAAATGTCCGACACAACACAAGTTGTACCCGACAGTTTTAGCTCAGTGCCAGACATTTATTAAGTGTATTGAGCTGGACGAATTGATGGACACCATTTGGATTGTGTCGAACATGATCCTTGTCAGTCAATTTACATGTTAGAATTTCAAAGAATTTAACTTCAGAATGCAATAAATACAGTTTAATTAATGAATTTTAGATTCACAAATCTTAAAAAATATATTTAAAAAAATTGGGATAATGCTGAAAAATATTAAAAAAATTCAGTCAATTTACTGGCTGACTAAAGTTTTTAGTGAAAGCCCTGATGTTTGAAATTCTCTTCAATTTTAAGTTATTAGAATATTTGAAGGGTTGTCTATATGTGTTTAGAATTCTCTTCAAATTGAATGAATTAGCCTTTGCATATACTATATATAATTAGTTTAATGAATATGTATTAAAATAATTAAAAAAAATAATGGAAATTGCTGAAAATTAATCTTTCATGTGTGCTGACCTAAAATCAAGGATAAATTGTGGTATGAACAAAAAAACTAATGCGCCCCAAGCTTATGAGCATTATTAAATTTCAAGCGTTAAATTCCTGCTTTACAGTGTATTCCCAGGGCCAGATTTAGCCATGATGTACACAATATACGAGTAAGGGTCTCACAGTCCAAAGGGTCTAGTATTAGGATGTCCGCAAATTGACCTCACAACATAGTGGGTTGTTAAGTAGTCTCTGTAAATGCTTAATAAATTACAGGCGCCCAATAGTGTAAGCCCCCACCAAATCTAAATCTGACCATGTGCCAGATTTAGGCATGATCTTAAGTACAGTTTAGAGGCCTCGCAGGGGCTGAACGAGTTTCAACAATAGAGCTTATCGGACCCTGTGTATCCCCTGTTTACAAATATCAAGTGATCTTAATACTAGACCCACTATACACCCCTTACAGAATAAGGACCTCACCACATCTAAATCTAAATCAGACCCTGTGTATCCCCTGTTTTGAAATATCAAGAGATTATATTATATTGCAAACCTTCATTCCATGTCTTAATCGTATTGTTATTTATAGCTTGTTATATATAACTGTAGTTGGGAAAACAAAGAACATTTATATAAGGGCTTTTTATATACTTTATCAAATTAAAGATTCTATTTCTTTGCTTTTTGTGTTTTTTTTTGTCTTGCTTTGTATATTATCTATTTTACTCCTTCTTCTGTATTGTTGTACCATATCAATTGTTTTATTGAAGAGAATATTATATGAAATACATTTATTATATTACCTACATGTGTATAGAGACCCATCATTGTTGATCACACAGCCTCCATAATTAATCTGTCAAGTCTTGCGGGTTCCTGTTCCACTAGGAGTAGGGTGTATAGCTGCCTAACCTTCATGGGTTTTCCCAAATAGGTAAAGACAGTTGTCAGGTCTGAAAATGTTTTTTAAAAAGATAATTTTTCATACCCGTAGAATGCTACACCATATGGTTTTAGGACAGAAAAATGCTACACTGTACATGTTCAGGACAGTAGAATGCTACACCATATGCTTTCAGGACAGTAGAATGCTACATGATATTGTTTTAGGACAGTACATGTAGAATGCTACACTGGATAGGTTTCAGAACAATATAATTCTATTCCATTATGGTTTTAAATATGTGTGGGGGGTGGATGGCCGAATGGTTAGAATGTGCGTATGTATCACAAGGTCTGTCATTGAGTCAACTGGCATGGTTTCGTGACGAGGAGTAGGGTCGCCTGTCCAGCCTCGTGGGTTTTCTTCGGATCCTTCAACTGCTAAAGACCCCTACTTGTGAATTATTGAAATAAAATTGAACCATATATTAATCCCGAAATGACCTAGTTTGTGTCATATGGACTTGAACTCCATCTCTCTCTTTAAATCTGTGACTTGACACCTGTCAACATCTGTATATAATTAAGTATGATGGCTAAGTGTGGTCAATCATTGTATGGGGTATCTATATATTGAGATGTGTAGAAACCTTTTTTTCTTATAAATGATATATATTGTTGGCTTGTTTAACTCTAGATAAAATCATGTATTTGTACCATTGTCTCCTGTCAAACACCCATAATAAATGTGTCACAAGTCTGCTGGCATTTTTGTTTTTTGGTATTATTTTTGAATAGGAGGGTTGGGTGGCAGAATGGTTTACAGTGTGACTGAGGTTCAGCATTGAGACAAGAGGCTCTAGAGGCTAAAATTAATATCCGAATAATTTGTATACAGTATTTAAGGTCATCATTAGACGAGGACGTTTATTGATTTTCAACGATTTCCGATAATTACTGCTAGAGTTATGGCCCTTGATCACTTGTGGACACTCTAGAGGTTAAAGTTACAGTATTTAAGGTCGTGAGACGGAGAAGCCCAGTGATTTTCAATGATTTCCGATAATTACTACCAGTGTCATAGCCCTTGATCACTTTGAAAAACCTTGTGGATGCTCTCGAGACAAGTTATCATTCGATTGACTTTAGTTTGATAAACAGAGTTAGCGGCTGTGGGCGTGTTTCGTGGCCTGGCAACCTTCCTTTTTTTTGTCTTATTTATTGAATAATTTAAGAGCGTGACTAAAGCATTGAACCTACTTCAATCAATCGATCCCGAAATCCGCCTAGTGTGAGCAGTGTCATTCAGCCGAATTTTCATTCGCCTAATGTGTCCGCTTCAGCGAAGCATTTGCCCGATTGTTGAATTCATTTGCCAATCAACACTGATGTCAAGAAGTCATGTGATTGTTTGAAGACCTGGTCACTGCCATGTTTAATCATGTGACGTGAAAGGAGATGCAATCGACTGGGGAATCGCGCGGAAGATTTGCCTAATGTGTCCAGTCATTCGGCTGCAATTCTTGTGGACGCTCTAGAGGCCAAAGTTAATATCCAATTGACTTTAAATTTATACACAGTGTTTAAGGTCATGAGACGAAGAAGCCTATAGATTTTCAGCGATTTCCAATAATTACTGCCAGAGTTATGGCCCTTGATCACTTCAAAAAATCTTGTGGACGCTCTAGAGGCCAAAGTTAATATCCGATTGGCTTTAAATTCATACACAGTATTTAAGGTCATGAGACGAAGAAGCCTATTGATTTTTAGCAATTTCTGATAATTACTGCCAGTTATTGCCCTTGATCACTTTGAAAAATCTTGTGGACGCTCTAAAGGCCAAAGTTAATATCCGATCGACTTTAAATTTATACACAGTGTTTAAGGTCATGAGACGAAGAAGCCTATTGATTTTCAGCGATTTCGGATAATTATTGCCAGAGTTATGGCCCTTAATCACTTTGAAAAATCTTGTGGACGCTCTAGAGGTCAAAGTTAATATCCGATTGACTTTAAATTTATACACAGTGTTTAAGGTCATGAGACGAAGAAGCCTTTTGATTTTCAGCGATTTACGATAATTACTCCTAGAGTTATGGCCCTTGATCACTTTGAAAAATCTTGTGGCCGCTCAAGAGGCCAAAGTTAATATCCGATTGACTTTAAATTTATAATCAGATTTTAGTGTATTATAAATGTTTCATTACCGAAAATTAAAAATATGTGACAACTCTTGTTGATTGCCCGGACGATTTAGCTGCTGTGGGTGTATGTTTTGTTGCCTGGCAACCTATCTTTCCATTGCCCTCTTGTACGTGGCAAGGAGTAGGGTCGCCTCTGTTTTCTTCCCTACCCACAACGCAAGACCCCTATGAGCATTTGAATTATTGAAATAAAATTTTCCCAAATTTTGAATAACTTGGACAGGAGTATCCAACCTATTGCTAAAGTTTCAGATTACGATAATGCAGGTCTGTCAAACGAAATTCATATATTGGGACAGGAGGGCTGTCTGTGTACCAAATTGGAATAGGATTGTAGAGGCTTGCCACCAAGAAGTGTTTTAAACTAAGGAACATATATTGGATGGGGGACGCACCCTGCCTTCAATGGGCCTGGAATAATCTATCATAATATATTTTATTTATTGAGTAATTTGGACATGGGGCCTAGAACAAGGGTGGCCAACATTAAGATCGTAATGTTAACAAAAAAACACCTGTGGTAGATTAAGGTAAATAAACCAACTACAGTAAACTTCACAAAAGTCGAATCTAAGTGGACTGACCAATTTTATCCGAGTTAAGTGAAGATCCGAGTTAGCCGAGGACCGAAATTCAATCATAGCTCAATTAGAAATAAACTGCAAGAGCCAGATAATAATCGATTCAAACGCACGTGTCAAGCTTTTGTTCTTATGTGTGAGTAGATAACTTCCGTTTTATCGCCATCTTTGAAAAATGTCCTAAATTTTCCCATAAAGTGTCTCGTACAGCAGACATCGAGTTTCGAATTTTTTGGGAAAATTCTATTATTGTGTCGCGTCACGTAGGCTGATTTGAGTCAAAATGATAGGGGGAAGTATTTTGGGGCTCTGTGCATGGAATAGCTGACCGTGTTTTAGACCATCGAGACGAAACTTGACTTAGTCAAATTCTGAACATACTGCCGGAATAAGATCAAATGGACTGAACATTTTGATCTGAGTTGAGCAAAAATCCGACTTAGGAAATTCGACTTACATACAGAAATTTAATAAGAAAAATGTGCAGGATCAAAGGGTCCAAAAGATTTTATTCAAGTTGAGCGAAGATCCGATTTATGCAACGTTTACTGTACATGTAGTATATGGTTAGGTCTATTTGTGAGCTGCTCCCACAAAACCAGTCTCTTGGTCATTTTTATAAAAATAGTGCTGGCAGCATATTTGAATAGTCCCCAGCCTAAGCGCTAATCCTAACCCTGGACCTGGACCTAGCCCCAAAGCTTATCCTAACCTACAATCTCACCAACAACCACGTGCCCTAACCTTATTAACATCTCGGGGGGGACCTTGACGAAAATTGAACTGGCCTTAACAGATTCAGCTCTAGGATATAGAATATCCAGTGATATAGGATCCGTTGAAGACAATGGTTTGATGGATTATTATTATAAGGCCAGTCAAATCAAGGAAAGCTTTAATGAGCATTTATACAATTAAAAATAGATTAAAATGAGAAATAAAAAATTGTTAATATGTACAATATGATAATGAATAGAACTAATTATACAAAAACTGTATTATACCTCTAATATTAAAGATACATTAGCTAAGAGTTTAATAAAGAGTTGGCCATTCTTGATATAATAATTCAAAAATAGATGATATAAAAAGATAATGTTGAAATTTTCAGTCAAATTACTTTGTTCTGAACAGAATTGTCACTGTTGGAAGTTTGAACTAGAAATAGGCATCAATTGTGTCTGCACCGTCTATGAGAATTGGCGATCATTTGATTGACAGGCGATAACGCCACTCACATATGGCTATGGCAGCCTCGTTTGGCAGGCCTTTCATCACTAGTTTCCGGTAATGACATCAGCGACTAACGGTAAACGTTAGCTTGGTCCGCCATTTATTGATTTAATTTTAAATGGACGACTGTTTAAATCCACACTGTATCCAAGCCATCCGTGGGTCTACAGTGTTGATTTTGGGCTTGTTATGTAAATAAAGTTCTAATTAATAATTTCTATAACATCTGAAGCCTAAATAAATGAAATGGGGTTTAACGTCCTACTCCTATACTGGGCTAATGAAGACGGGCATACATGTACGCCATGTTATATTGAATTCCAACTGCCAAGGGATTTTTTACATGCATTCCAATGTATACACCGAAGGACTAGACAGCTGTCCTTGTCAGGCCATCCGTTCTGCACCATTGACAAGGGGAAACCACGTCGGAAAATCCAGATGAACTTTCTCGGCCAATGCAGGGATCGAACACACGACCTCCATATACCATGGAGGTTACAAATAAGGCTGGGCAATACTGGGTGAAAAAAAAATTGTCATAACATTTGAACAAATATTACAATAGTTTCTGATTTGTCATTATTGGTTGTCTAATAAAAATTATTTACTCCTATAATTAATTATTAATAACTCCAATGTTAATTATACCAATTATCAGTGGTCTCACTAATCCTTCATATGCACCTTGCCTTTGATCATGTTGTTTTCATGCCTTTGATCTTGTTGTTGTCATGCATGGTTTCTGATTTGTTGTTATTGCTTGTCTATATATAATTGCCCTACACATTTGTTACTGTGCTTGCTTGAAAATGTTGAGAGAATACTCTTTGAAACGTCGCCTAAATAAATCAGTAATTGTTATTCGATAAGTATGTGTTATAGTTTATAACCCACAGGTTAGTGGAGTAGAACGGAAGGATACCGAGGATGGGCAATATTCTGATCTGGAAAACATCTGATTGGCTCAAGTCATGCAGCAAGTCATGGAGCTAGGGAGCATCTTCTTCAGGGCATTTGGGGAGGTCGGGAATTACCACCCACCAAGTTAAGGGTAGGTAACTCCAGAATTCCAGATAGATGAACTGTCAGTACAGAAATGACGCCACCCCCCAACTGGCCTAATGTCCTCTCCGCCCAGCCAGTGGCATCCTCAGCTGGACTGAGATAGACAGGACCATGAAGTTAATGTCACGTTGTATCCATGGTTACTACAGATGATGGTGTAGTTGTTGTGGTGTCTGCAGGGTTTACATCCGATGAAGAAGACATTGCGGGATATGGCCCAGCTGATGTTGATACGGCCAGAGTATTGTTCTCCTTAGCAGACATACTTGTTACGCTACCACTAGATGTGGCTGGTTGTGTGGGACGAAAGGGTGTGCTTAGTCCTGGTTGTCCAGCCATACTTCTTGCTGGGCTTCTAGCTGGACTTCCAGACGGTGAACGTCCGTGACCGTACACTCTTCTGGCCTCGCGATCGGCATCTCGTTGTCTTTTCATATCATTTAGTACTTTATCCATTCTAGCTACTTTCTTTATTGACCGTGGAGTTTTCGAACTACCTGGAAAAGAAAATCACAAATTAGTTTCATAATATACGAACACAAAACTTTGGTAATCAGTCTTTGACGTAACAAATGAATTGAGGCTTAATCATGTTACAAATCAAAATGAAATGGGGTTTAATGTCCTACTCCAGCTGGGCTGCATGTTCCTGAAGCAACAACTGCTAGTTTTACAACATCTGGACGTTGCTAGATTACTTCACATTTCCGGAACTTATAAGTGCATTATCTACAGACACGTGAACAGTAGTGTCCAAATATATCCAATCAGAGGTTGTGACACGGAAACCATGACATTGAATGAACCTTGAACTTTGCAACTCGATTATCACATATAGACATTTTAGCTTAAAAGCGCAAGACTTGGTATTCGGGACGATCAAGGACTTTGATAGGCTCACACGCTGGGCTTGTACCCAATCGAAATATGCAAGGCCTTGATAAGATGTTTGTAGTTAAAGCGAGATCAAGCCTTCTATTGAAGATGGCTGGGCTGATGAATATGGGCATATGTGCTATGAGGGAAATTTTGACATTTATATCAAATTCCAATCAAGGCAAACAAGTATAAGGAACTATTTTTTGAAATCAACTATATTATAAATAGCACATAACATCCAACATATAGTAACAACAAAACACATACTTATGGAAAACAGCTACTAGTGTATTTAAGGCGATGTTTCGTAGAGTATGTAGTATACATATAGTAATTTTCATCTACTAAGTCATATATTTCAACTATGGCCCACAAATTCAAATTTGAAACAGGGTTGTTATACAATCATTGGAAATACCTCTTGTTAATTACCTGGTGTTCTTCTTGGTGTTATTACTGTAGATACAGAAGAATCCATATCATCAAAATCAAATTCACTCGGAGCAACAGGCCTGGAAAATTACAACATACATTAAAACAAATACGACGACATGGTGATACATTGTAGGTTTTTTTAAAAAAACTATATTCCATTCAATAAGAATAAAGAGAGAGAGAGATAAAGAAATGGGGTTTAACATCCACTCAACACAAACTAGGTCATTTCGGGACTAACATGGTTCAATTTTATATCAATAATTCCCTTGAGCATAGGGGTATTTAGCAGTGGTAGGAAACCGGAGAAAATCCACGATGATGGACAGACGACCCTACTCCTTCCGTTTTATTTCAATAATTCGCTTGCCTGTAAAGGTCTCTAGCAGTGGTAGGAAACTGGAAGACCTTGAGTAAACCCACGAGGTTGGACAGGCGACCCTGCTCCTTGCCACGTACAACCAGGGAATCGAAACCAAGCCAGCTGACTCAATGACAGACCTTATGATACAACGTACACATGCTAACTATTCGGCTATCCAACACCCCGCCAAAACGCAAATAAATAAATTTTATCTTCCTAACAAGATATGACTAACTTTTTCTCTTCTTCTTTTGGCTGCTCATCTAAAACTTCTTTTTCTGGAATTTTTTCTTCTGTGGCGTCCTCTTTCTTGTCCGTATCGGGTGGGCGTCGTCCTGGACACTGCCATCTTAATTCTATATATCTGTCTTTTTCTAGTTTCTCAAAGAGACTGATGACATCTTCGGGTTTCGGTTGCCACACCCCCTTTCTTACTTGTGTAGGGTTGTACTTTTCATCATCACTACAGTCAATACACCAATCACTGTCTTCTGTCTTTTTATCCTCACCAGAATTACCAATAATTGGCATTCTCACTGATTTTTATTTTTTACAGAGTCTGTCTGCAGATTAATAATGGTAGTAGTATGAAGGAGAACCTGAAAAATGTGTATAAAAACATTAAAACTTCTGAGATTTTGAATCACTTGCAAACTAAAATGTTTAATCACTAAAAGGAGAGAGAACTGAAATGAAATAGGTTTTAAGGTCGTACCATTCTGCTCCTATATATATATAGTCCTATATTGGGCTAATTAAGATGGGCATACGCTATACAGTGTGCTATGAGGGAAATTTTGCCAGGGCAGTGGCGCGCGAGAGAGAAATGGGATTTAATGTGTCCACTTGACTAACATATGGTTAAATTATTATTTGAAAAATTAGCTTGTGCGTAGGGGTCTTTAGCAGTGGGAGAAAACCCACGGGGTTGAACAGGAGACCCTATAGTCCTTGTCACATACAACCGGGAAATCGAAACCACGCCAGTTGACTCAATGAAAGGACAATATCTATAGATCACATGTATATATTATACTGTTTTTATTTTTTGTAACAAAATAAGTTTATTTTCTTTGAAATCACATAAATTAAAAAGGATATGATACAGGTAACAATAATAATAATAATAATTAAAAAAAACATCCTTTGCATCATAAATCAATGTCACCAAGTAACATTTTGTTAAAAATACATTATCCAAACGAAGTAAGTCAATAATTTCTGACTCTTTTATTCAAGTGGGCTAATCCCTGGGGTAATCCTATCCGATCATTCAGGACGCTTGTCTAAAGCGCGATAGAAGCCGGTCGGATTCATAATCAGAATAGGCCTACAGAACTTTACGTGTTATTGGTCGATTCTGTGACTTATTCTGTGCACTAAAAAAAAAGCATTCCTTCAACTAAACTATGTGCAGACGAAAACTTACAAAATCTAACAAAAAATCTAACAATACAGCTCATTATCCCGCCATGTTGAAATGGGAGGTAACTCTTATGAAGCATGACTAGTACAACTTTTGGACAAGGATTGGAACTGGTGAATTATTGATGGATCGACGAGTGAAGCGAGGTGTAAAGTACTCAAGGAATTTGTGTTGCAATTCTTCTCTATATAATCAATCTAATATCCCTGATAACTGACTGTGTAGTCAAATCTTGTTTTACCGAAAGTCAATTTTTTTTATTGATCGGCAATGACTTTCGAAGTAGGCTACGTTCTTCCGCCGTGGTTTAATTCCTCTTGTCAGTGATGCAGGACGGTGGGCCTGACAAGGCCAGCTGTCTAGTCGTTCGGATGGGACGCAAAACTGAGATCCCGTGTATACATTTGCACGTAAAAGATCCCTTGGCAGTTGGAATTCGATATAAGAGTAGGCCATAGTGCCACTGCCCGGGCAAAATTTCCCTCATTGCAGACTGTATGGCGTCTGCCCGTGTTCATTAGCCCAGCCCAGTCGGAGCAGAACAGTAGGACGTTAAACCCCATTTCATTTCATATCAAAGTACGAAACATCTAGAATCGATAATCCTATGAATTTTTTTGATTCTATGTGTAGATAGCCAGTGTAGGCCTAACCTTGAGAGAGATTAATTAACAGTGTAGGAATGCTATTTCAGGGAATGTAGCCTATTATTATCAATTTCACATGTTTTTTATCTGGGAAATCAAACAAATGTTGTTGCGTTATCATTTAAAACAGAGTTCAAGGTAGTCAATCTGAGTTTCGTGCATTGTAAATACCCTTTAGATTCCTCGGTCGATTGTTTGTATATGTCACGTATTAGTATGTTTATTTCTCCATTCAAGGAGCTAAACCCCGGACAAAATATAATATTCGAAATTGAACATACATTATGCAAGAGGTAAATCTGCCACTTGTAGGTCTTTCTTTAGGCCTGAAATGTTATCTAAATTATTAATTAGACATTAATTAACTTATCCAGAGCATAATCCACTCTTGATGACATCGCTAGCCTGCGATATTTACTGGATTATGATCCCATTTGCAGTTCGACTTCCATTCATAATTTAATCATGAAATGGATGATCGAGATTATGTTTTTTTTATCACACAGACTTTAGTAATGATGAACGAGGCTAGGTCAAAATTTCAATGGCTTAATTCTCGGGACATAGTGGATCAATTTGACTGAAATTTTCAGCAAATTGCCTTTACATTATCTCGATTTTAACTATCTCCCATAATGTATCTTTAAAATAAAATGAAATGAAATGGGGTTTAACGTCCTACTGTCTGCTCCGACTGTGCTAATAAAGACGGACATACGTCATACAGTGTGCTATGAGGAAATTTTGCCCGCGTCACTATGGCCTACTCTTATATCGAATTCCAACTGCCAAGAGATCTTTTACGTGCATATTCGAAATTAAAAACATGAATTAGAATTCAATATTTGTCCGTTTCGATCAATATTGATGTTGTTATCTTGCCGTTGAAATATGGGATTCTAATATCCAATATTAAGACAACGAGGAAGTAATTAAAAATTGCCTGATTCACAAACGGAAAAATAATGATCGAAAAACACGTAGAATGGACTAAGTAGGCACAAACGACCGCCGTTCAATTTGAACTGTTCGCGTATTTCACCGAACATAATAACTTTTTATAAATTACAATAATATTTTTGAAAATTGAATGTATATCAATTTATATACACACATATTACACTTGCAGGCGCTTTTAGACCCGGGGGTTGGATGGCCGAATGGTTAGCTCGTGCGCGTTGTAACATAAGGTCTGTCATTGAGCCAACTGGCGTGGTTTCGATCCCCCGGCTAGCGTCGCCTGTTCAAACCCGTGGGTTTTCTCCGGGTTCTCCAGTTTCCTCCAACTACTAAAGACCCCCTCACGCAAGCGAATTATTGAAATAAAATTCAACCATATTGTAGTCCTGAAATGACCTATTTTGTGTCGAGTGGACTTTAAACACCCCCCCCCTGCCTTTAGACCCAATTCCACCTATACATTAAGCACAGAAAGAATAGGAATCATCTAGTAATTAAATTTGGGTGAAAGTCAACGAAACAGTTCGAAAATAGTACACAGGGCCTTCAGAGGTCTGTAAATGGGACGATCACAGAACCACGCAGTATAGGTCATTTCTGTTCCCGCGCACGTGACTGATATCGGTTTATCTAATCTAAAATCTGCAAAACTTTAAAAATAAGAAGAGTTTAAGAATAAAGGGAATAGCTCACGTACCACATACAAACAAACAACATGGCGAGTGGAAGGACATTCATTTTCAATATTTTTATACTTTCGGTGTCACTGTCGACGATTTCATCAGAGTCAGTTCATATATATGTGAGTCCAAGCGGCCTTGATACGAATAATGGGTAAGTCGATTTAACTTTTAAAAGCCACTCACGGTCAGATATAAATATTAAGGCCACTTGCAGATTTCGTCACGAAATGTAAACAGGGTTAGGGCATGTGATTGTTGTCGAGGATTGTGGGGTAGGGTAAGGATTAGGGATTGGGCTAGCCCAATTTAGATCTCGTGACTTTGACGAAATGAAATGAAATGGGGTGTAACGTCCTACTGCTCTTCTCCGACTGGCGACCTTGACGAAATCTGCAGGTGGCCTTAATATTCAGATCTAACCGGTCACTCCCAAGTAACACAATTTTGTGCAGAGTATCAGTGGTGCAGGACGAATAACCGGGCAAGGACGAATATCGTTCTGATAACTGATGGGTCGAAAAGCGGAGGTCCTGTGTACACGTTGGCGTTGACGTAAGCAAATAACCGGACAAGGAAGAATATTCTGATCACTAATGGGTCGAAAAGCGGAGGTCCCGTGTACACGTTGGCGTTGACGTTGACGTAAGCAAACCCTAGCAGTTGGAATTCGACGACGAGTAGGCGGAAACCCACACTGTATTTCGTCTGTCCGTCTTTATTAGCTCGGTGGTCAGATAAAAGTTTGACTTTTTACAAAAATATGTTACGCAGCTGGTTCGAATTACTGAAACTTTTCAGATACCGATTACTCATATGGTAATTACACTATCAGTCTCTAATTTGCACCAGTTTCAGAATAAAATGGTGCTAAAGCGCCGTCAGACTGGAATGGCGTCCTTACTGCGCTGCTGCGACCGTACGGTGACCAGAAAATGCACAAGGTCGCCGGTAAACGTGAACACAACACGAGAAAATGTCCCCAAAAATTACAAACTTGAAAAAAGTCGCCTTCTCACAGCTTTCCAGGTCAGATCGCAGAACATTGCCGTTGAACATGCTCAAAACAAACGCCGTGATTCGGCGGTCATTGGCGACCACGGAGATCACAACACGATCGATATCTGGCGTTTCTATCACGCTTTTACCACGCTAATGACGATCTCGGCGAGCCTCTGTTACCATTTCCCGTCGCCGTAGCAGCGCAGAAAGGACGCCATTCCGGTCTGACTTGGATATAAGGTTTTTGAACGAATAGGTTATATTTATAGCACTTCTTTCGTGAGTTAACAGGTTTAAACATCGAGGCCGTAGGCTGCGATGTTAAACCTGTTAACGAATGAAGCGTGCTATAAATGACTTGTAACATTGACACCTGCTCAACATGCTTGTTGTTATTGCACAGAAAACCAACCCCACTTCTCTTTATGATTTCTACTAAAACTAATGTAAACCAGCAAAAGTGTGCAATAACATTGAACATGTCTAGTTATTGCACTGTTAAGCTCCACCCAATCTACTAGAGAGAAAACAATCTGCTTATTCAACGAAAACAACAAAGGAAGATTTCCCGTCCATGTTACAAAGTATTTTAGTGAAGTTTGAACATGATTGAGTTATTTTTAGCTATTGTATTAGACACCACGGTTAGGTCTAACTTTAAGTAGTTTAACATTTAACGTTCAGTCCCAATCAACAAAATTAACAAAATTATATACAGAGTATCAGTGGTGCAGGACGGATGACCTGACAAGGAGAAGTGTCCTGTTGTTCAGATAGGGCCGTGTATACGTTGGCATTATCGTAAAAAAACAATTTAAAGTTGCATTTCGATGAGAAGAGTACCCGACGATTTTATTCATGCCGGGAGGGGGGGGGGGGGCTTTCATTCCTACTGCAACGACATCAATGTACTAAGGGGCATACGCCCGGTGTAGCACCATGGGCCGTTTGTCAGACGTGGAGAACGGTCAGCGCTAAACCCGGTTGCCACATCCGACATGCATCGTTTCTTAATATTGCTACATATTCTGGAACAGCCCATGATCGTCTAGTATTGTCTCTGGCCGCATTTGGTTCTTGTTTTCTTCTTAGGACTTCACTTTAAATATTGTGTATTTATTCTGCCACTCATTCAGTTACACACAGTAACAACAATACCACATTTCGTTTCCACATTTTATATTAAGCACTGCTACATAGGTTACAAAGTTAAATCATAATAAAGTCATTCTCTCTAACACGCTCTCATGCAGACTCGGGGAGTCTGCTGATGGAAATTTCTACATCTTCTCGCTACGAGAACTACATGGCTGTCTACCCTAGAACGCACATTCTATTAATTATATATTCTCAGGTTCACACCCATTAATTATTCTATTGGCCAATTATTATGTAATTAATCATGTGATTGGTCACTCTTGCCAAATATGAATAATTATTATGTAATTAATCATGTGATTGGCCACTCTTGCCAAATATGAAATGGTAACTTTCCTACCACGTGGATTTCAAACAATAACAATTTATCCTTGAAAAATTCAAATGACCATCATGTTTACTAAACTATAGCTGCGTTAACGTATCTAAACAACCAACATACTTTCTCTATTTTTGGTTATGAAGTTAGAATCAATAATTTGATAGATAACGTTATTGTTCCAGCCATCATATTTCTCTATTCTTTGTCTTTAGACCTCATGTCTTGTTATTGTCACAATATTCATAAACAATTTTAATTTGCGTTTCAGAATTGAACGTATACCTAAGCTAAT